GTCTCCTGCCCGTTGCTCTCTTCAGATTAACGGAGAGGCAGTGGAGTAGGTGGAGAAGTTCAGCTACTTTGGGATCGTGTTTACTGGTGATGGAAAATGGGATGAAGAAATTGATCAGCGCATCGTAGTGGCCAAGGGCACTGTGTGAACTAGCTCAAACCGTTGTTACTGCTGAATCTGAATGCTAACTCTGTTTACTAATCGATCTGTGCCCCGAAGCTCACCAGCAATCATGAGTCGTGGGCCATGACTGAAAAGCTTCTATCCCCTGTACAAGGGGCTGAAATGAGTTTTCTAAGAGCCGTCGTGGGGCTCAAGAGTCTGTACATGGTCTGGTGTGCAGATATCCGAGAACCTCTTGGTGTACAACCGCTCCTTCTCCTGATTGAAAAGTCACAGCGGCGGTAGTTCTGGAACGAACGATTTGCGAACGGAAGTTGACAGAGCTAATACTTGCTTCGCCTACCGGGGACGGTTAATAATGACTAGATGCAAGTCTCAACACATTCTGCTCCAGTCGGGTTATGTTCTGTCGAAAATGAAATGCTGGCACAAGATCGGGAAACGTCGGAAGCACTGTCCGACGCCTCCGCGCCCGGAAAGGATGAGCTGTCAATGAAACTGACTGAGTGGTTCTAACTCAGCGACCAATAACTTGTCTACAGAAGAACGATTAGATACCGTTGGTTGAAAATACATTTTGCTCGATTCCTAAAGACATAGAAATATTATGCTAATGAAAGAAAAGACAGTGGTCAGATGAACTACGGTTAGACTTACTAAGTCAATTGTTGCACAATTTGCAATGATCAGCGACTGCTTTTTGATATCTTCCAACGCAAACCTGTTAGAAGGCGAGTACTGAGCGGATTACATCCGTAATTTTGTACGGTAATCTCAACTAGCTCACCATGATCCAACCTTTGGCGTGCTCTTCGCAAACGACGAGTAACGACAAAAGTCAGAGATGTCATTGCAGGACCAAATACCCGGAGTAAGTATGTTTCAGAAGCCAGAGGTAATAATTGATGTTCACTTTGGAACGGTTGCCCAACGAGATTCTGACAGCCAGATCCGACAGCACCCGTTGCCGGACGGGAGCCGGATGAATGGACTGTTGGTGATGGTGCACATGAATTTCCAGGAAATCATAATGAAAAACTAGCACAGAGAACGGTTTGATCATACACAACGTAATATAGTGGCCAGTCAGGTGATAGACCGAT